CCGGAGCGGCGAGGGCGGGTACCGCGGTTCGCTGCCCCGCAGCCGACACTCGCCAGCTGAACAAGCTGCTTTCCCTCTCCCAGTCAGACTCGAGCCTTGCCCCGAGAGCCCCACCGCGCATGAACGGCACGGGGTTTCACCGTCACCGACCCCATCTGTGGGTCTTTCAACTTCACGTTATAAATCCTCCTGACGAGGTCTGGTGTAGTGCCCTGCGGCCGCAGCCCCTGTAGGATCTGGCACGCACCGCAGGCCGGGTTTAACAACTGCTTCCCAAGCACAGCCAAGCGCCAGCATTTTACAACGGCACTGTCTGGCAATGGGGATGTCACACTGAAACTTCTCTAAAATACAAAGATACTCTTCAACCCTTCACAATGAGTCTGGTAAGATTAAGGCTCCAGAGAGTTTCAGCTACTCAAATCAGCTCACCGTTGAGAGCAGAATAGCACAGCCATTGTGACTCTTGCGCCTGATGCTAGGAGCTCCTCCAACAGATTGATGAGTCCAGCAGAATTCCCAAAGAGGTTTTTAGGAATGACCAGAGAGGAAAATGCTGCTGCTATTTGTGTTATTTCAGAGTCCTAACAGCTGCTCCGTCAATACAGTGGTATTCACAAAACAGTTGGTGACACTGTGAAAGACTTAAGTACTTTTTGTATAGGATTTACATGACCCATTTCTGGCTTTGCAGCTTATAAGTGAATTTCACATTTTACACCCTGAAGATGTAGTGCTTGATATTCTCTCTTCTGCAATTCAAAGCCATCTGGCAGCTTCTGCTTTAGAGTAGCCATACCAAGCTAGTGTCACTCTTGAGTTTCAAAGCTCTTAATTCCATCAGTACTATATGGAAACTTAGAGCAATGTGGTTTTCAGCACTACTTGATGCTACCAAAAATGATAAAGAATCATAAAGCAAGTTACCTTTTCCATGCACTCAATAATGACAACAAATATCGTATCAAAAAGTTACCTTGGAAGCATCTCTTCCCTTTATGGTTCAAGTGTAGCTAGGATCCATTCCTTCTCATCATCCTCTGCTTTCTGCTACAGGTGGAAAGAAACGCTGAACAAATGCTCACCGTGGCAACTGGAATAGGAATTAGACAACTGTTCCCCAGGACCCCTGAAGTATAGTGAGAGTCAACCCCCGAGATCCTCATGTCATATGCTACCAATGGTTGCAGATTAACTCACAGAGGTGGAAAACTGCCACCAATACAAAGAGCCTCAGCAGTGGCCAACAACTCTCGTTGTGTATTAACAGATTTTACAATAGATTTTTAGGGGTTTTTTTTCCAGATGGTCCCAAAATAGCACCTGAACCTTACAAATATTTGAGAATTATCTAAAAAAAAACACCAGCCAAACAAACAAAAACCCAAAAAAACCCACCAATAGGAATTAAATTAGATCTGAAAGGAACTTATTTGTTCTTTGATGGAAACAGCAGTTAGGGTAACTGGTGGCTTAGTTTTCAATTTACAACTTTGTACTTCATAACCTATCTCAGATTAAGATGTGGGCTAACTCTCTGGCTACAGATTTTACCATCCAACAGACTGTCACTTTAAGGTCAAAATAAATTAGTCTTTGATGAATGATGAAATGTTCAGGTATGTAGGAAACTATTGTGGAATTAAGTTGCTGAGCTGCTCTGTGTTGATGAGCTGTCCCATACCGCTGTGGTTTCTCCTACCCATTCCCATTATTATTTGGGCACTCTGAGCCATTTTATGCACTCAGCCTTTGAGCTACTCTTCGCAGAAAGTCCTTACAGACCATATTCTGCAAGTCATATGGGCACCCATCACAACCACAAGGCATACTAGTGCATTGTCTACAACACTGCCAACAGGAGAACCCCTTTTTACTTTTGTTGCCCTATTCAGACACTTCCTTGTCATCAATGTCCAATGATATCCTTGTAGATATTGTCAGGAAAACCAATAATTTTCAATTACTCATTTAGGGTTGCACATCACAGTCATTACCTTTTGTATAAGATATGCCTTTTAATTTAATTTTAAACCCTTTGATGAGAACTGCTGTAATTCCTCTTCCCAGTTTTATTACAATTTTGGATATCCTATGTGATCCAGAGTGTTCTTAAAGTGTTTGTTTTTTTTTTTTCTAGAAGAGAGCTCAGATAGTATTTGTTATCAGTGAACTTAAGGCATATAAACCTATTTCCTGCAGAAATTTTAATTTACTGTTCAAGAGAAGGCTACTATGGATCATATAGTTTATCTAAAGAACGTGAAATAAAATGTAAATATATTAAAAGGTTAATCCTCTAAGCAGATCCAATGATTACAATTCAGTAGTTTAGGCTAGACCCAAATCTGCCACATGTTTACAAAATGTGTAAATAAACAAAGTTTAAATAGGTTAAATCTACCAGATGAACTACAACAAGCAAATTACTGGTTCAGCTAGATGGAGAAATAATAGAAGAATTTACATCAGGTAAGGAACTAAGTAAAGGGGCTTTTAGAAATTACAAGCAGAATTCAGGCATCAGTCTTGAAACTAATCTTTTTAGTAAAAACATTTTTGTTACCTTTGCAGATTAAATCAGTCAATGACAAAGATTTTTTTAATAGGAAAAATGGGAGCACACATATGAGAAATGTTGAAGGACTGGGAAGACCACTGTAATATAAGTAACAAGAAATTCAACAGTACAAAGTGTCAAATGATGAGTCTGGACTGACGGGACTAGTAATGAGTGTCTGTTAGGAGCTCATACAAACTGGAAGTGACTGAGGAGATAAAGTCCCAAATTTATCACAGAATGGCTACGAATCAGAAATACAATACAGCCATTATGGATATTAATCCATTAATTTAAAGGATTACATTATTTTCACAGAAGAGTGGGAACTCTCCACATTGAAGTACCTGGTGCCTTATCCATGAGCCACTATCTGGAATATCTAATTGTCTCTGGTTACACCTATTCAAGGAAAATTAATTCAGACTGGAATAAACACAAGCAAATGCAAGTAGAATGATAGAAACAGAGAACTTTGCTTTCCAGACTAACATTTCATTTTGCCTAGCAAATGAAGACTAAGAGGATTTAAGTCTCTATAAGCTTAACTAGAAAAATAAACTCAGCTGGAACACTTCCAACTATTTATGCTGAAGAGCAATCTGACGTGACAGATGTATAGAATTATAAATACACTGGCACAGACATTATAGTAAGTTTCACTACTGAACAGTTCTGAAACTGCATTCCAATAGAAGTTGGGGCGAAATCCCAAATACTCTTTAAATGGACCTTTGCTAGTAGTCTAGGCAATTACATCTCATAAACTCATAAACCCATACAAGGCATTAACTTCACGACTCAGCCCAATGTTCCTATATTTGGCTTAACACCACAGTAACATTCTCTAAACTTCTCAAACAATATTCAGTAACAGTTATATGCTTAAACAGCACATCATCCCAGATGCTCCTGTATTTGTCCAAAACAACTGAGGACACCAACTTTCAACAAAAACATTGCACATGCCCATTTCAGGAATGCAGTATTTTTCCCTCAGGGATGAGCCATAGGCTTTAATTTTAAGTCCTGCTTTCACAGCTACAAAGCTAGCCTGTTAACACACACACAAAAGGCTGCACTGTCATTCGTTCACAAGCTTCTGTATAAGCCAGTGATTTATTTTATTAACACACTCTACCCATTCTCAGGTTAGGCTCTCTTTGAGGTGCAACTACAAAGGAGAAACCTTTCTGCTTTTCAGAGAGGAAAGCTGCAGCAAGAGACTCCTACAAGAAGTCCTTACACAGAGGGTCTGTAAGTCAGCCAAACAGTATGTGGAAGACTAAATCAATGCTCATTCTGCAGTTGTCTTTTTTGGAAAGCCTTCCGAAGCTTTCCAAGTCTTGCGCTTTAAACCAGCCAACCCATACTGAAAGTCTAAATACAGGCACCTGGTCTGGCTGTATCAGAATTGTGTCTTATTTAAAGAAAACCCACCACTACAGCCATTCCATTTACAGCTGATCAGAATGCTGCTACAGGGAGAGATGTAGAAGCTGGGTTTTTTTCCCCATAAACACACTGCACTATTCAAAGGTTTTCATGTTTAAATTTAATTAAAGAAAAAGGTCTCAAAGTGATTAAGCATGTCTGACTTCCAGCTTCATTTAATGGCACAAGCCAGTGCAGTAAATAGTAGAAAGCGAGCCCAGTTAGAATTTTATTTTAATTTTTAAAAAAAAGAGAAAACTCTCAAGATGTGAGGTCCTATTAAAAAAGTGGCTGTTCACTTGTAAACAGAATAAAAATGTTAAGAACAGTTTCATACAGCTTAAACAAAACCACTTTTCTTAAGCAGTACAAGTAATGTTACAACACCATAAGAACACCAAAATCAGAAAACAAAAAAATATGGCAGAAGAATCACATAACATTACTTACTAAAATGATGAATTATTTACATTGACTATTAATAGCTTGACATTTTTATTGCTCCAATGGTAGTGTGTTGACAAGTAAATGTAGTAAACTGTCATAGTGGGACAATAATAAACATGTATTTATGTTTTTGCATATGGAGTTTTGTACCTATCAAGGAAAGCATAGGAATTTTTTTTTTATTTATTTATCAAGACCACACCAGATTTAGCAAAAATGTTTTCTGTTTTAAAGTCACCCATCTACAACAGAATCCACACTTTCTAGACTTGTCTGTGCATGTCTTAGAACACTTTTTTTTCCTTCTATGGTAAAACTTCACAGATCCAAATGGGGAATCAGTAGGTAAGAGCTTTGATGCTCTGCCAGTATTCTATAATACTTCAGTACTCCTTAAATACAAAAGTTACTAGATACAAATCCAAATATTTCCTAGATAAAAACTAGAAAGGAAAATCAGTGTCAACATGTTTATATGAAAAATTCAAACATTGACTTGGTAGACAGTAACTGCTTTTAAAAATATGCTGCAAACTCACACCACTGATAGTTACTAGGTCCCTTTTCTCCTTACTCTCTACGACGTTTTCTCTTTTGTTGGAACCAGTCAAGGCACTTTACCACTTCCACTACACTTTGCTAACATTTATCTCTGTTATATTGCTACAAATTCTTTCTCCAATTAAGAAGTATCCTCTATAAACTGGTTTGCCAATTCATGCTGACTCTTTATTGTCAAAAGTTAGATTTTTCAGTCTCATGAGATGCAATTACCTGCTGAATGTTATTATGTTAAAGCAAGGGACAGGCAAGGCAAAAAGAACCTGTAGGCAGAAGTGCATGAGTTCACAGCAGTACTAACAGCTGCCTTTATCTTTAAATGAGCTATGGAACCTGTGTCTTTCAGATGCAAATATAATACTGCGTGCTGGTTTTGCATTTTAATGCAAATTTATTTACTTATTAAAACATGAAGCTTACTGTAAATGGCAGTTTTGGCTCATACTCTTTACTCGTTGCTTTATGGCCACATATTTAAATGTCAATTAAAACACCGAAAGAGACCTTTTCATGGTTTGAAGACTATACAATTAAAAATTAAGGACAAAGTAAAATGTACAGAATTTACAAACTTAAAATGTAAACTTTAAATACTAATATTCTGTGCTAAAGTGCCTGCAGTGCCTAGGAGAGACCCAGGGACAGATCTGTTGTGGGCAGAGCAGCCTGTGGCACTGGACGTGGCCAGGCCCACAGAAAGGGGATAAAGGTACGAGGGTGGGAAAGCAAAGCCAAGATCTTATTCTGCCTTGTATCTCTGGTCATACCCAGCACAGGGTGGCTAGGGAGCAGCCCAGAGGGACCAGGGGCTCCTCTAGCTCTGGGCGCTCTCACCTTGGCACAGCACTTCACAGAAACAAGATAAATCAGGTTGAGAAATTCTGAACTGAATACAATAAAGTCAGCACAGACTGAAGAAGATTTCTTTTAGCAGCAAGACTGAAGACTGACCAGCATCCACTGCTGGCAATGACTAGAACTCTCACTCGGCTTGCCTGTTCTCTCAGTTGGAAAAGAACATTTTGAAAATGTAGTCACATAAAGAAGAAAATAAGAACCTGCTGAGTTTTCTTGAGTTTCTTACACAAAAAAAGAAAATTACTAACAAAGTTCTGGCATAACAGTAAGAAACTTCCATTGTTTTGTTAATTAAGCTAAGCTTCCTCATTTACTCCAGAAACTTCTTTGTAAGAGAAATACATAGAATTGGGTGTGCTATTTCAGTTTTGGTTTACAATGCATTTTTCTGCCATTAAGTATTTTTTCTGCTTCCCGTTAACACTCATACTAAAAAAAATAAATTGGAGAGAACACTTTGCTTGGCTCTGTAATAGAAGTCTGAATTGCCAGGTGTAGCTAATGTTAAATTCAAACAACACAGTTGGTTTTTATTCATTACTTTACAAATGCAATTACACAATTAGTTGTCACCAATCTACCAGTCAAATGAAACCTCTGCACTAAATGTACAGATTTCAGAATCTGAAACATCAGTCTGTGATTGGAAACTACTGCAAGTGCTGGAGCCTTGACACTCCTCAGCTGTACAGTAAGAAATTTGATTTGAAGTAACAACTTGCATAAAACTGGCCTTCTGTAAACACTGCATACAAGAAATCTGGCCTACTACAGTTATTAGAATGCAATGGTCTTAACAAATACTATATTTTAATACAATATTGCATACTGGAAAGACGCGAATACATTCAGAGGAAATCCCAAGTCACCCTGAAACTGAAAAGCAACTTGGGATGATGTCACAATGAGTCAAATTGCTGCAAAGAAATGCCTGGACACTTACAATGACATTCATCACAACTTGCAGATACTCAAGTCATCTACTGTTTTTTTCTCTGATTTCTTATTCTTAGTTAGGAAAGGGATGGAACTTTCATTTTTTATTTACTTACTATTATCAGCTGGTCCTGCTTAGGCCAGCCATTATAGGAAGTTTTTCTATAATTACTTCCCTTCCTGAGATCAGACAAACATGGAAGAATCCAAAGATACTTGTGAATTCCACAAGACATTTGTGGCTCTTCAGAGTGTGCCTGAATGCCAAAACACATACATGAAGCCTTTCAACTGATCCACTTCCTCCCATCAGCATATTTTGAAACATTACTCTGATTTAGATAAAATTTATTTCCACTGGAAAGGATGCCATGTCACTTGGCTGTTAAAATGCTGAAATATTATCACAATACAAAAATAATGTTACTTCAGCTTTGACTTGGCTGTTCCAAATTTTTCTCCCCAGTAATGAAAGTCTCCAATTATGAAACACATTTTTCCTCATTTATAAACAAAACAAAACTTGACATCCATATATATTCCTAATTTAGAAAGAGGCTTTAGGATATTTTCCTAATAGCAGCCACCATCTACCCACAAATGCAACTTTTTCAAAGGTTAACAGTATTTAAGCTTCCTATTTCAGGTGCTACAAACAACACCTGAAATACTTAAAAAAAAAAAAAAAAAAAACTTAAAAAAAAAAAAAAAAAAGACAGAAATGCATTTTTCATCCATTTACTAAACAAAGTGCAACTGAGCCCTACACATCTGATAGTATGTACAAACTCATTATGGCTTTACCATAAAAACAGGATGTGAATGGGTCTATACAATCAGAGAGATACTAGCAAATGTAATGAATAAAACAATGTCGGACTGTTGGCAATAGAATAAGAGCTATATTACATTCTGTAAACCTTGGCATACCACACTTTACATTAGCAAAGAGTCAATATTTACAAATCCATAGTGGGTAAAATAATTAACCCCCTAATGTAAATGATGATTTTGCAAAGTGCAGGACAAAACCAGTGCTGTTGATTCCAAGTCCTATGCAAGCAAGTTATACTAAAATCATTACTACAAGACGCTTACCTGGACATTTCTACTGAGGGTTAATAGGACTGCAACATTTAGAATGAAATATAGTATGACACAGCATTAGAATGCATGTTTGAGGACAGCAAATATAGAAATTAATAAGGCAGCATGCTCAGAACAAGTTTAAGCAGCACTGATGTTAGATCCCTAGTGGCAACTATATTAGTTATTGTTAATGTTAAAAATTCAGAGTGCAACATAGAAGCCTCATTTAACATAAAAAAAATGTGCAAATTGTTCTCTTCTTAACAAAAGAAAGTAATATAGCAAGGAAGATATTCTACTGAAGAGCATTTTTAAGTCACAGCAAAGTAGACCATCTTCTTTCCAAAATCATCTACAAGGCACTAAGGGTAGAAAATGTCAGGTAACATGAAAGACCAAATGCTGTTCCTCAGTCAGGTCGAAATATGGGATATTTTGGTAAGAACTCTATTAATATTACCTGTTGAAGAAGGGAAAAAGACAAGAACAGAACACAGTAACCAAGAAGTTCAAACCTTCAGCACAATTTCCATGCAACATTAGCTAGTACCTCAGACTAAATATATCTGAGCTATTTTGTAAGGAGGGAATGTTTCCCAGAGTAACAATGCCTAACTTTTTTGGGATGACTATCTCTCTTCAACTCTACACAATCTTTACATCTATACATGAAAATGGATGGCAGAGTAGTAGGATCACCAAAATATTTAGAATTCTGTTTTCGTACATGGACTGTCTGTCCTGGTTAAATCTTTATGAAATTCAGAGCTGGAAAAAAAAAAAAAAAAAAATCCAGACAAAACCCCACTACTATAAAAATGTAACACTTCTGTGCAAATAATGTGAATCAAAGTAATTATGAATACCAATGGAAAAGGTGGATAAGTGTTAAAGAACTATGGACTGGTGTGGGAATCACCTCAGTGCACCAAGTGCCTGTGGGTCTCCCTCATTACAAATGACAGACCAAAAGTGTACCTGCAGTACATGTGTAGAATCGTTATGAAGAGAAAACACATTTAGTGGTGACAGTTTCTTAGTCTCAATATATGCCATGGCTGCTCTTGTTAAAAGCATCCTTCATAGGTGCACGTCAAACACAACTGCACGTCCTTCTGAGAAATCTCAGTCAGGCGACAGTCTAGTAAATTAAGGATTTTTTCTATAAAACCAGTTATGTTGAATACTGAATAAGTAACAGAAGTAATACTTACATATTCCATCATATTGCTAGTTTCGCATTTCCTTTTACTCAGCTTCCAGTGCAAACCAAGCTAAGAAAATAATTATTGAAGGATTAATAGGTATTACAGCATTGTTTTGATTAGTAACGTAATGAGCATTAGCAATATCAAATTATTAGGATCTAGAATACTTCAGACACAGGTTTAAGATCAGTATAAAGTAGGAAATTATAACAAGACTAAAATTTCTACATGCCAATTATGCAAAAATCCTTACTATTTTTAAAGCTGAAAAAAACAAGCACTCTAACTTTCCTTACCTTATGATACAGTCTGTTATTTTCCCATTCTAATAACTTCTGAATTGATCTTCTAGTCTAAAAAGTAAGTCAGAACTGTATTATAAATGGTTCAGTAGCCAACCTCATCCAGAAGAATCTTACTATGACATTTCTGGCTTAAGATTATTTTAAAATAAGTTAGTTTTATAAAAGTAAAATCAAGCAAAAGAAAAATTATAAATGGAAGTTCTACCACTTCAACTCCCCACTCCTCAGCATCAGATCTTCTTCAGAAAAAAAAACCCCAACAAAACACCCACAAGTTTTTTTGTTAATTTAGGACTGCAACTTTTCCAGAATTCATTTATTTCATAAGAGAACCTTTTGAATTCAGCATTTTTACCTACCATAGTCAAGCCAACAAAACCAGAATCTCCCACATCCTCTTGGCCAAATCTGCACTCACTACAGGTGGTCTACTGACAACACATAATTTACATATATGGACTTTCCAGATTTTGCTAATGTAATTATTATCTGAATCCTGAAAAATCTCAACACCACAGAACTCTGTCTCACAACAAATAGTGCCTGTATTTTCAACTCCTGGATATCAAAGTACATGTAACCTTCATGTTTTGTTCTTTCCACAGTTGTGGGAGAGGAGGAGATTTTTTGAGTTTCAGTGATTCTTAAGGTCAAAAAAGACCACTGTGATGTTCTACTCTTGTTCCTGCATAGTATGCCATGAAATTCCATCCACCATTTTCTTTGCTAAAGCTAATAATGGTAGGTGCGCTACATCTCCTTAAAAAAAGATACAAAGCTATTCAATTCTGAGTCAGAGACTTAATAGTGGAGAATCCACCACTTCTTTGTAAATTTTTCTAGTGACAAAGCTATCCTTGGAATTCACAAGTACACATTGTTTCCTGTTTCAGCTTAGTTTCATATTCCATCCTTTGGATCTCATAATGCCTTTTGTTGCTAGATGAGTGTATGAGGACTGGCTGGGATGGAGTTAATTTTCTTCACAGCAGTTTGCATGGTGCTGTGGTTTAGAGCTATGACTGAAATAGTGTTGATACCACATCAATGTTTTAGCTACTGCTGAACAGCACTGACCAAAGGGACATCCCATATGTAATGTCATGCTCAGCAATAAAACAGGAGGCTATTCTTTCCGAAGTACCCTACTGCCCAGAGACAGGCTGTGCTTCGGTCTCCTGGTGGGAGGTGGTGAGGGATTTGCCTTTGCATCACTTTGGTTTTCTTCCCTTTTTTTCCTTTCACTTATTAAATTGTCTTTATCTCAACACATGAGTTTTTCTTAATTTTGCTCTTCCAATTCTCTTCCCCATCCTGCTCGGGGGGAATGGGGAGGGGTAAGTAAACCTAGTTGCTGGCCAGGTTCAACCCACCACAGGAGAAAATTAAGAACCATCTTACACTTGTGATTGTTAGAGTGATCAAATCTCTCTAATATATACACAGATGCATACCCACAGAAGTAACATGATCTTCCCTAATTCTACTTGGTACATATTATTTATATCCTTGAGAATTACATTAATACTACAACATCACATGGGCATTTATTTAGATTTTCACTAGCACAAGATTATTAAATATGGTTTTAAAACTGCAAATATTCCATCTGTGTATCTCAAGAATATTCCTCTGCAATAAGGACATGTACAAAAGCAGTTAAAATGAGCTAAAACAAGCCCTGTAACTTTTTAGTGATACAGGCTTCATCGACCAGCAGTTCAACAAGCTAACATATTATGCCTTTAGTGCATTTCATTTTAACCAAAAACTCAATGCCAGTCAATGCAACTGTTACTTCCTTGAGTAAGTTGGAAAGTTTGACAAAACACTTCTGTTTTATTTTCTCTGAAAAGCAATACCTATTCCTTGTTTTTGCTTTTGGTTTGTTTCATTAAAGATCTTAAACTCTCAAAATCCAGAAGTATTACTTTTTAACAGATTTTTACTTAAGATATCTTTCTATAATTAAATTGAGAAGTGTGAGAGGGTTTTTTTTTCCCCGACTGCACTACATACTATTTACATTTGTGGATAAGATTTTATGGCTACAAGTCTCACAAACTCTGTAGCTGCAAAGAATATAATTACACTGCATCTATGTATTTCCTAAACATTTACTGCTGTGATAAATCAATTCTAAGTGTAAACCATAGAGGTAATTAAGATCATGTTTACCTGATATTGCTAAAGCGTTTTTCAGAATTATTACTTTGGACCTGATTACAAGAACTGTCAACTTTCTGTTGAAATAAATAAATAAATAAAATGGAAGTCTTAAACTCCCAAATAGAAAATGAATTTGCATTTGTTCTTAATAGAAAAAGCACAGTAAAATATGTCAAATAAACCATAGCTCAGAAACGTTAATGGTAACTATCACATACAAGAAAAGTTATTTTTAATTTTAAAAAAATATTTATTCTGGGGTGTGAGTGTGTGAAGAGGAAAAGTTATTTTCACTCCAGTTCAGGAAGTCTTTGAAGGTCACTGTCCAGTTCTGCACTCATTTAATTCAATTCTTCAACCTTTAGACATCATGAAAATTTATGTTATCATCCTGTTCTTTGAACTGAGATGGGATTAGCTATTCCTAAAAATATTAATTCAATTGGTAATTTGGTATCATTTACTTCAGTAAGAAACATTTTTTTTTATTTTCTAAGGAATGGAAATCACAATAGCTTTTTGCATGCAAGAGAGACCAAAAAAAGGGGTCTGAAATGGAAATGATACTATTAAATGTAATTTAATGTCATCAGTAGTTGCAAAATAAATAGAATAAGAAGAATGAAATGTACTTACTCTTTTGTTAAGACAGACTACAGGCCACAGGCTACAGCCTAGAGTGCAGCAGCAGCACAGACAGCCACAAAGCAGCCATTTTACATTGACCGGGAGATTCTTTCTTAAACAGGCATTCACACGACTGATGCTGGTCTTGAATTCTTCTGGGGCAACCTGCAACAGAAATGCAGAACTTCAGTGGTAAGCAATTATGGGTGCATTTTCTCAGTAGAAATCTCTACAGATTAAAATGTAAATGAAACATAATACCATTATACAATACGACCCCATCTTCTAAACCACTAGTCACCTAGTGATCATGAAAAGTCACTTTCCTGTAACAAATTCATTTATGGTGCATGCTCTGCAAAAACTCGCATTAAAATGCTAAACATTGATTAGATGAACAGCCTCATCCTTAGTTATTGCATCATTAATAAATCAATTGTCCTGATAACCTAATGACCCCAAACAAAACTGGACAAAACTGGAAGTGGGACACAGCTGTACAAGATATGCACTGGCTACACTGATAAAAAACCAAACAAACCAACAACAGAAGACTGACAGATAGTCTTGTTTCCAAGGGAATGCGGAACAGCTTCATAGTAAAAACACTTGCATGTCACATAGGAAAAAAGAGTAACATTGTCCAAATTAATTTCATATCAATGCAAGTCTACACTGTGTTTGGGTGAAGGCAGGCTTCTGTCCACAGATTAATTCCTAAAGTGGTCCATATCAACATGGGGCCACAACTTCACTTGTGGCTGCTTTCTAAAATATGAAAGCTGGGAAAGACATATATTGGATTATATTCAAGGCAAAGAAATGCATCTTGTACAGGGTTATGAATAAAGCCTAGATGTTGAACAACAACTTATTTAAATTGAGGAATATTCAACAGAGCTTACTCAAAATAGTATTTTCTATATGTTGCCAGTACAGAGTCACAGTGGAAAACCACATTTTCTATCGAAAATAAGCTACTTTCTCTACTAGCAGCATGTTTCTTATGAAAGAGAGCACTTACCTATTTACATACCCCAAATCCCATATCTATCTACAGAATCTAAATAGGTTATATCTGACAAGTCAAATATGGATTTGTGGTACTGACTCCAAGATGGCACTCTTAATTGTAACACAATCCAGGATTCAAATGCACAAAGCAGAATAATCAGATCCAGCTTTGAAAGACTTGACCAGTCAGGTACAACTAAAAAAAAAAAAGAAATCTTTCTTTACCACTTGCCATGTTGAAGAAAAAATTCGCTAGCATTAGTCTGCATACAAAGCTGTGCAACTACTACATAATCCTTCCCAACAAGCAAGCCTAACTGTTCATTTGATGCTGCAAACAAGGGCAACAACAACAAAAGCATTAATTTAATGACAAAGACTCCTTTCACAAAAGGAGCAAAACTATGGGACAGGAAATGGAGAGGACCTGATCCTGCTACCTCCGCCTATTCACAAGAGCTAAATTCAATAAAACATTGCAGGAAAGGGAGTAAATAAATACAACATCTGTTTCCTGGCCATTCAGATCATGCAGTATGGAGTCAGAGGTCATCTGGGTTTGTACACAAGCCAGGCCTACAGTTAGTAATATAAGAACATAATTTAACACTGTGATTATTTTACTGCAGGAATTAATAAGTGTACAGAAAGTATTTCTTTTGCAATTATAAAGGCACACACACACCCCTTCCCCCCATTAAACAGATGGTCATAATTTTTTTTACATATACAAATGAAGCAAGTAAAAAATATTTTTACAATAGATGGTTAAAGAAAGAAAGAAAGAAAGAAAGAAAGAAAGAAAGAAAGAAAGAAAGAAAGAAAGAGAAAGAAAGAGAAAGAAAATTACAAAGAGAAACAGAGATCCCATGTATTGGGTCATTTTCAACAAACAGAAAAAAAAATCACATTGTAATGTGGAAAACTAGCATGTACTTGCATGTATCTGAAACAGAAGGTTTTACAGATCTCTTTGCCAATGATGGCTCTTGTATTTAGGATGTAACAAATATCAGATGCACGTGACCAAGACCATTTCATCATCAGTGTGGGAAAATGTTTTACAGTAAAGTACAACTGGGTTGGTTGCATGCAGTACAAGTAACGTTGTACAGCTTCTACAGCCAGACATGCTTCAAAGTAAATTGAGATCACATACATTAACAAACTAGCATTCTCAGCTCTTAAGGAAGTTTATATGTTCCTAACAGATACATACAAATGCCACTTTCTTTGATAAGTCTTTCGCAATTTATATGTATCATTCAGTTTGTCTGAAGGATAAAAATAGTTTTTTCTTGACCCCATTAGTACTTTTGCAATGATTCCCACTAAGAAAAGAGAATGTTTCTTTTTCTATTAGCCACAAAGTTTACCCGACCTTCACAACATGACACCCCAACCCCAAAATACAGCTGTACAAACCTACCAAAAACAATGGAATTGCACACTCTAGAATGTAGTTTAACATGAAGAAACCTTATAATCAGTGATAACATCCAACATGAAGAGAAGCCAACTAGATTTAGATCACAGCTGGCAGAAAAAAATGGGGACCTAATAAGCAAGTACTGGGATGGTGAGATTCCCTATTTCTGCACTACTTTTAAGAGAGTCGCTGTTCACATCAGGTTAACAGTTTGATGCTACTTTCTAAGAACAGTGTTGAAGTGCTCTCCTTCCTGTAGAGCACAGCACTGCCAACAGCTAAACGCAAAACCAACCTTGGATGCCACCAAGAAACAGAGAAAATACCTATTTCAGAAATTTCAGCATGATGTTTACCTTAATATAGTATTATGAAAGCATCACTACTGGCCGCTAATGTATCAAATACTTTCATGTAAAGGCAAACCTCTCAGCTGCAACATAAGATGAAATTACTTAAAATGGTTTTGGCTAACCCAAACTACTACATGTATTCCTCTGTTTAAGAAATGTAATCACAATAAATATTTCTGTCAGCCAATGACAGATCTTCATTTGAAACTAAAGGAACTGGTGACCAAAATAAGCCTCATTTTGTGATAAATAGAAGCAAAACACAGTTTTGTTGCTCTCAGTTTACAGCTCAGTAAGAGTTAAACATTGTTATACTGTCACAAAGATCAAAATATCTGTAAATAAAATCACTGTTCCAAATGAAACAGTCACCAAATAATTTTCTTGATTTTCTGTCATAATTTTGTCTTGCCTTTCTTGGAGGTACAGATATTGAAAGGTTAATGTGAAATGACTAATGTATTTGAATCAAATGGAGAATTAACAGCACCTCCTGCACAGCAAAAGCTTCCTAAGAAACTCTAGATTTGAGTAATTTTGGAAATTCTCACCGTTTCTGACTTGGTCTTGAAAAGAATGAGATAAGTACATAGCTTCTGGCTGTGCAGTACACCTTGTAAAGAGACATTAGTTCCTTTTAGGTCTTTAAGGGAGGGGAAAAAAAAAACATTAAAGGAAAGGAGGGGGTGTCATAATATTTTACAACAGGATGCCAGAGAATCTACAAACACAGGAAGAAAGCAAGTAAAGCCCAGCAGGCCTGATCTTTCTCCTTCAATCATGATCACAAACCCTATCAATCACATGTTGCAATGGGATCACAATACCAAGACCACGTTTTATGGCTTACGTTTCCCTGTGTTGCACAGTAATCTCTGTATAGGACTCTTATTGTTTTAAGACCAGGGCAGGAAACTCCACTTTTTTCCTTAAAGTTCACTGACTTCATAATTTTCTTGTCACCTGGAGCAGTGTGTGCTATTGTGTCATGTATTATGAAGAGTATTTTGTTAAAAGCTTTTAAATGCTTGCTTTAAAAGAATTAATAATCCTATAGAACTGTAGCATACAGAATTTAAATTTAGGCCAAAGTCCAATCACATTATTGAAAGTTAAGTATTGCCTCTGTATTAAGTGTAGTCAAATCTTTTCTTAAAATATTCCATCGAAAAGAATGCACTGTTCGATAGCCTAAGCTCAGCTTTTATAAATCAGCTGAAGCTTGCATCTCATACTGAAAGATAAATGTTAAGTCAACCTAGCTAAATCATCTAGGCCCAACATCTGACCTACCTGATATTTTCCTTTCCTTTACTGTTTTACTGTCTATGTTTTATCCTCAGATATACACACTGACCTCTCCCCAAAAAAGCAACAAACATGTCTCAAATATTTAAGATGTAATTACATGCATCTTAGTTTGAGGCTAATTTACAATAACTATCCAGACTGGGAGACGAGGAGGTAGGGAAGATGGGTGAAGAAGAATGGGTATTTCCAATATAAAAAAAGAAAACTAGCAGAAGGTTTACTACCATCATCACGTAGTTGGTCAAACCGAGGGTCAGGAAGCTTAAGTAAATTCCTAAGACTATGCAGTGGCAAAAATCCAAAGTTAGTGCTTCTGGGTGAAAGGCATAGCTAGTTTTATCTATTTTGGATTTTTCTCATGCATTGGATAGATTTTAATCTTGTGTTTAAAAACCTAGATCTTCATTTGTGCTTATTAAAAAGAAAAACATTACCATAGAGAAATCTATCAACCCCACCTAATAGCTTCACCTTTTACACTCCATTAGCAGATGGGATATATTATTAATATCAATTCACAATGGACAACAAAGCCATTAAACAATGTTACACAGACATTCTGAATAAAGTATGACATTGCCTTATATTAGCTGTGTACTAATCCAGGTTCACAGTAAACATTTTAATCACAAATTGTTAATATAAACAGTCACTATGCTATTCATAAATTGTGATTTCATAAAAAGTAAAAATTCATATTTTAAGCACAGTAAAAGATCTTAAAGTGGTGTATCAATAGACTATAATGCTTAATGTTGTGAATTATTTATCAGGGTTATCTGAAGAAAACCCTCTTACCGGAAAAAACTAAGTTTTCATTTTCAATAGCGATAACAGTGATTGATTGCCATAATCAGAGGAAGAAGCAGATTACTTATTTCTTGCAATTCATGAAAGTATTAAAAACCAAAAAACCCACAACTGGTTTTATTGTCTTTCATGGCAGCGTGTGGCAGGTAGTAAGAAGAAATGTGTTTACTATCTTATTTGATTGGTGTTTTCCCCTCACAAAAGGGAACTAATTTATTTTCAAAGTCTTCTTACTTAGAAAGCCCCTCAAATCCACTTATGAGAAAAAGATAACAGGATATCAAGATTCTCAACAGAAGCATACCTATATACAGCAAATCCCTGCTCATGTGATTTATGTTCTCACTGACCACATCTATAGAACAAGGAGGGTAAATGCCAAGTAGAAGAACTTCCTCTCTCCTCTGCTAAATCACGTCCAAGCAGTCAAATGAACTTCAAATTAAACTCTTGGTCACTGTCTAAATTAACAAGAGAAGGACAATCAAGCGTAAAGTGTGATAGGCATTGATGCTCATATTAAAAAGTGTAGGCTGCAGGGGCTGGGTTTGGTTTGGCTTTTTAATACATACAAACATACTTTAGAAAGGCAGAAAGAAGAAAAAATTACATCATCAAATGAAGTTTTAACATCTTCTGATAGGTATTTTCTGTAGGCTTATTTATAACAAACTACAACTTAACTAAAAGAACATAAAAATTATTACTTCCAAACAGTATTCTGTGGCTCTTCAGTGATCAGAAGGAGCTTCACAGAAAAGAATAAACCTCAGACATGCAAAGTAGTAAAATGCAAATGGTATTATCACCAGCCCTCATACTAGACACTATGGAATCAGTAAGACTTCCTTTTGAGCTCATTGAGATTTTGAAGCAAGGCCAGAGTTTCCACGCAGTCTTTTAACAACTAAAAACTCCAAATAGTAACCTGCTTTTTAATTGCACTGCTGTCAAAAAAATCTAGAGACAAATTCAAAGCAAGTATTTTATTCATTATACTCTGGGATGAAAATGAAGGAGAAAAACCCCAGATGATTTGGCAGAACCAGGAGATGCCATCCAGCTGCATTGTAGTATATTGTTAATATGACTCAACAGCCACTGCAAGAGGCTGCAGAGGTAGTGTAGCTGTATGGTATAACATTAAAGAAAGCACTAAGAGCCAAGTAAAATTTTTCCTCACAAATTCTGGAAGAGATACACAAGGGGGATATTAATTGAAGCAAAATAAAAACACTAGAGAGTGACACAGCAGAAAGAAAAAAATCCAAGAGAGAAGGAATTCAAAATTTAAAAGTCTAAAAGAAATAAAATTATGAAACTAATTTAAAACCATAACCAAGAATTTTGTTACAAGAGTTCATGAATTATTAGCTACAAATGAATATTTATTAAACTTGTATTTAGTAACATGACAGAGAATGCAAGAGACACTGTCACCACTAATTTTCAGAACTAAACAACTATTGTATTTCTGAAAATGTATGAAAAACTTATTTCGTAGATTTGACACTACAATGTTTTGTTGCTTAAAGCTTCAGATAAAATAGATTCTCTTGTGGAGATCTGTCTGAATATAAACTCAAGGCTTGATAGACATATTGAGAGGTTCAGTATTTGAAATCATTTAATTCACAAAGGAGGTAGCACAAACTCCAGATATCTACAAAGCAAGGTTAAGTGAGTCTGGCTTTCATGTGGATTGCCTGCATGAAAACAGTATGATGCCATGTTGAGCTTTTCTGTGTTTGGAATGTCAATAACGATAGCAATCACTGCAAATCGTTTTTTCTTGTTTCAAAGTATACTGTAGGGACTGGTCATCAATCAGGTAGTTAGTTCATACAGGACAGAGTTAATTCAACAGTCTGCAGTGGAGTGCTGCCCTGCACTGCACTGTGGATTCACAAGCATGTATCTGTAACACAGGAAACACTGGATGCACTGGATCTTTCCATTTAAAAGAACAGTTTAATCTCACACTTACCTTCCCTGTCAGAACAGAAGGAAATTCTGTATCAAACTTGTTGCTCAAGCCAAACCTTGAAAACAAAAGAGACAAACAAAATATATTCCACCTAACTTATTTTGTTTCCCTTAATAAAAAAAAAAATAATAGATTTTGTATTTAAAAAAAAAAACCTATTAATTTTTTTGCCCTTACATTTACATTATTTAATGAACTTTCAATCTAAGTTTATATAATGTCTCATGTATCATTCATAAGGTCATTTACAAGACAGAGAAATATAGCTTGTTGCCTTACTTCAATACTTTCAAGTCACTAAAAATGTAAAAATTCTTCTGTGATTGGATGGCAGTAAGTTTCAATCTTTGCTTTAAAAACCTCCAGCTATTAAATTCCAGTTTTCTAGGTTCAATAATCCTTTTACTGCTACTTTTTTACTCATGCAATTTATTCGCATGCAACAGATAAAGCTAGCTATAAGGAACCCATTCATCATCACCTTAGAAATTTATAACCATATAGTTTTAAAAAACTGCTTTGAGCCGAGTTAAACTATCTCATGCAAAACATCTAAGAGCCACAAAGAACAGTTTTAAACTAACTATGAACTTCAGGAAAATTCAGTCTTAGGCATCATTGTAACTATTCTTCATTGAAATGTTCTTGGGTTTGAGCAAGAGGTAAGTCTTCATTATAACCAGCAAAATCTACAGGGAGCTAGACTTTGCTTGTAAACCTGTGTTACCACTAGCTCCAAAACTAATGAACCAACTGAAATTTCCAAAAAGCTAGTGTTTGTGAAACAGCAAGATACCAGCAGTGCATGCTGACTTGACTTTTTTATTTTATTTAAAGCATCTAAGTAGGCAAGAAGTTAACTAAGCTCTGATGCTAAACCTGCTAGCTTCTCCAGAAGAACTCTCGTCTTCCATCCCCTCTACCGTAACTGAAATCTTTAACCTTTGCAATGCAGTACTTTACCAAAATAAAACAGCAGCTGGCCCCTCAGCCACAACCTTTACGTCTGAACAGAGCGTAATGTTAAGTTTGTCAAGTTAAATATACACCAAGGTTACTGTCAGCTCTGCTAATCTATCTCCTGAGTATTTCTGTTCAAAAAATAATGCTAAAAAAAAGGATCACAGCCAAAAAAGGGAGGCACATATACGGTTGATATTGTGATATTTATTGTAGAAACAAACCTTATGGAGAGATAGTATTTGCTTTGAGTCAAACCAACACCCGAAGTACTCCTTACTGGTCACTTGTACCAATACTAGTATTGCTGAAACATCACCAGTCCCCTATTGTTATATAATACAGTCATACTCATGTGCACAGTGTAATAATTCAGATATCCAAACTTGGCAGTGTAACTTGTTCAGAAATATACAAAAAAGTAAAATAAACCTTAAAGAAGAGAGAAGCATAATAAATGAACTTGCGCTGTCTTTAGAAATCCAGTAAGTTAATTAAAATGTTTGTCAACAACACTGGTGAAGTCCAATCAAGCTCTTCAATGGCTAATTTAAGTTAGAGCCCTGGCTCTTGTGAAGGGCAGCATACTGGAGCACTACTTGTGTAAAACATTAAAAAGCACCCCCAAAGAGTAGGTCTTAATTGAAGTGTTTCTCAACCTTTGTCTCTTAAGATATTCTAAGCACTATAACTAATTGCCACCTACTTGTGTTTGTTTCATTCAACATATTTCACTGAAGTTTCTAGACCTGAATGTGAGCAAACTGAACATCAGCATGGCATGGGCTACTGCACATCCAAGTGAACGTTTTGTTATAAAAACAAACAGTAAAACCAGTAAGATTTCAGGCAAGCACAAAGGTTGCTAATGTAAGTAAATTTCCATCCTCTGTGAATTTAATCTGCCAAGTCAGCCTCCACATTGTGTAGCTTTTCTTTTTAAACTGAAATCTTCCACATTCTGTTACACTGTATTTATTTTTAAGGAAGCTTGAAGACCAATGCACTAGTCTTTTCAGCCTTTAAAAAAAAAAATCCAGAAGAGACTAATGATATGAAGTACATACAGAAGCTTGTTCTGAGGAATATAGACTTTTCTGTGTATCAGCAATGAAACTACCTGAAATGATCACAAAGTTGTAGCAACTAGACAACATAATAAATGAACTACTGGAAAGTTCAGGTAATACTGCAGAATTACTCTACCTAGAGTAGCAGACTAATTCCACTAAATCATGCCAAAGGTCCATTAGCCCAGAACACTGACTCTTACAGTGGCCAGTAACAAATGTTTAGGAAACAGGGGGAAAAAAAAAAAAAAAAAAAAAGCAAACATGTACTAGCATTTCTGCAGAACACTCTTCTGACCTTCAATAATTCATAGTTCAAAATTTTCCTAAGCCACAGGTAGTCTTTTATCTCATTGGTCACATATACTCATTAACATTACCATTGCACCACCAAGTTCCATAAGAAATAACTAGAAATTAATGCTTTCTGATTCAGATCTGTTAAGAATATAAGACCACAATATTACATTAAATTTGAAGACTGATAATTTCATTAAACATATTTAAAACCCCAAATTTTTATCAGTTGCCAAAACATTCCATTCAGTTATAACACAACCAAGAAACCTCAGTTATAGAAATGCACTGGCACCTGCAAATGGCTCAAATATAAAACGTTTTGACTATATTGAAAACAGGACTATGTTACATTATACTAAATTAAGCCAGCATCACTGATGGCCTTTAGCACAGTTTTACTGAAGTGTCTCTAGAAGTTTTATAGACTATCCTTGTGATTATTTACCACATAGTTCAGAAACATTAAACTCCTATTAGATGGGGTGGGGGAATTCAAGAACCAAATTTTTCTTTTTTTTTTTTTTTCCCGAAATGTTAACGCAGAATCTTACATAGTTCTACAGCTTTGCATGCAACTTTGTAAAAGTAGCAAAATGTTATTAGAATACTTAATGTAAAAAAAGTTGAGACTTAAAATCTTGGTTAAGAGGTAAGTAACAACATTAGACCTTCTACAGTAGGCTAATGATCTACCATGATTTGGCCTATGAAGTCTTCTAAAATTCAGTATATTTAAAAATAGCTATGTAAAATAAATTCTAGTGCCTGTCCTTTAAATCATTTAAAACATCAGTTTGTGGCAACTTATTTCTGGGCTAGTTTACTGGCTCTTCAGTGAAAGCTACCCAAGTCTAACATTTAGAAATTCAGGTAAGTCACCCATATATTTCAGTTGCAATTTTCTCACTGGATGACAAATACTTCTAAAAGCAAGGTACTGTTTCATGTAGGCAACAACAGTGGAACAGAACTAGGATGCCCTCACTTTCTAGTTCTTCTGTATCTCTTTCCCTGTTTTAATGTATGGCATCAGACAAGTCCCATCACCTCATTTGTCCCCATTTGTAAAGTGGAGAGAATGCAACTTCTCATAGGGAGCTGTAATAAGTTATGCAAGATCTGTCAAAATTAAATACTGAAACAAACACCCTGAATCATCAGTTGTAAAGCCCACCTGCAACTGGTATCACATTACAAAATTCTTTCCCTTAGTTTACAAAGCACAAGGAAGTAAGGTTTCCTGTCCCCAGAACCAAAACAGGACAATTGTGGAAAACACCTTCTCATATCTAGATGAGACATATTTAGAGGTGCTTTATGGTTTGTTTTTTTTCCTTTCGACTTAAATAGCACTTCATTCTCATTTATCCCCCTGCTGTATTTATAGATAGTAATCAGTCTTACTTGACTACCCAAGCTAAACCCGTTTAGTCAACTCTCATACAATAGCCTCTCCAGCCTCCTTTCAGCATGTCTCCTTTCCCCACTCCTAATCCAGGTTATGTTTAACCTACCTTGAACAGATGAATTCGATTCTACGTACTATGCTTTATGAGGTACCATCTAAGCTTTATCCAGCATGACAAAATAAAGACGACATTCATTAAAAGCCCTGAGTTGAAACCTCCTTGAATACTTAACATTCCTCTTCCTAGTCGAAGAGCTTTTCCTATGAAGCCAACAGAATTACTGAAGAGCATCCTTAGCCATGGATGATGTTTTGGAAAACAAAGTTTTTGCTAACTGGTGGAAGGCTGAAGTAACTTATTATTTTAAATATGTAGAATCTACTATTTTAAACATGTGGAAGATAAAACTAGTATCAGACAGTAATCCAATGTCATTTTATCACAACTGAGAGCACCTGGCTCTTCCCTGTGTCCCCTAATCGATGACAATACGCTTTTCACTACCATCTGGATTGTGGATCCCTGGGGCACTCCCATAATGGAATAACAAAAGTTAACTTGTATCCAAAACTAGTGGGTTTACAGACTTAAGCAGGAATCACAGGCTGCATACTAAGGAAAAAATATGTTTAATGGCTATTTCGTCATTACTATCCATGCACGTGGACTTAATGATATAGAAAAGTTATATCAGATAAATAAGAACTTATAACCAAGTTAAGAGGTTGTTTACTGTTTTGTTTTTGAAAGTTACTGCCATTTCTTTGGTAAGCATATGACTCAGGCTTCACTAAAAATGTTTATGTTGAGATATTTGGACACACCAACCAGAGTCATGCTGACTATGCAAGAAACAGTGAACAATGGGTTTATAACTCACTAAAATGGAACTTCAGAAGCAAAGAAAAGGCATTTACTAGGTACTAGTAATTTCTGTGTGCTAAAATTCAAAAGCTCTTTGAAAACAGTATGACTGATAATTTTTTCAAGTATGAGTGAAAGAGCATTGAACAAGATGAGCATAAATGTTGCTAATCACTTTCACATACATTCTCTCTCACTCTGTTGAGTAAAATAAAAATAAATACAATTCACATGATCAGGCTTACCAAGCACAGGGGTAAAAGGGTTAGCAAAACAGTCAGTGGAGAAAGCAAGATCCTGCTAAAAATCCTTGGATTCTTAGAATTTATATTTAGTACTGTTGGATACTGCAGTAGAACTCCTATTAGGGTCAGCAGCTCACTGAGAAGGTCATAAGAATAAAAGCACTCATGCAGGAAACTAGTACATAGTTTGAATCTACTAACTTGGGAGTTTTATAAGAGGACTGTACATGAAAAGCTGGACCAGAAGATGACACTGGAATTAGAGAATTATCCCTTCTCTGTACACCAAAAGTATCCAAGAAGACCAGCATCAGATGAGGAACAGAAAGCACCTGGAACAAAAATCCAAGGAAAACAATGGCTTTTTTAAAAATAAAGTTTTCTTCTTTCTCTCTCTCTCTTTTTTTTTTTTTTTTTAATAGAGTGACTTGTCAGGACAGTAACTTTTATCAGCAACATTACTGAGAGGTTCAGAAAACAAACACAAGTTTTACTTGATGATGTATCTCACTTTAGTAACTAGAGCAGGCTGCTTCTGGAAGCCAACTGATTTCAAAAGCAGCAGATCTATGTGATCAAAAAATGACAGAATTTTAGAGCTGATACATACTAACCAGAAACTCTTTAGGAAGCAAAATATTTCCCATTTAATATGGAGGTTAGGATTACATACTACAGTGTCCAGTGTTTATTTGCATTTTATTGATAACATACACTAACTTTTTATTAATATAAGGAGATTTTCTAAATGCACCATGAACTGATAAAAGCTGCCTTCTATTCAGGCAGGTATACTTTTTACAGGAAGAAAGCTGGGAGGAGTGGAAGAAAGGGAAAATACAGTACATGGTAATTCAGTTCGGGTAGTTACAAGGACATGTATGCCAGCTCATGATTTCCACATCACTTACAAGTATTGCTTTCTTTTGATGTAGACATCACTAGTTGACAAGGGTTCTTGGAGATGCTCCTGCCCATCCCCAAAAGATGCTGGAGCCAAGGATCTTTAAGGAACATTGCTAATACACAAAAAGCATCACAGCAGACAAAGCAACTAAGTGTGTAACACTTTTTCTACACTTTTTCTAGCTTAGCATTTAAAACCAGGTAACTAATAAGATGGGTATGTGGTAATCTGATCATTTTGCTTGTGTTACAACCCTCCTTTAGTCAGGCCACATGCTATTTGGGGTCAGGACAGAAAGAAATTCCATCAACACAAGCAAGTACACTGCGGTGCAGCAGAGCAACTATCCACTGGCACTAGCTCAATGCAAACCTGATTTAGACTTACATGACGGACACAGTATCAAATCCAACATTAGGATGAGAGAGCCTTCCCCACCCAGTGTTTTTGCTGCAGATAGCTACATCACACTGCACCTATTTACAGAGAGAAATGTGTGTTCTTTTATGCAATCCAAAGACAGACTCAAAGCAACAGAAGCTAGATGGATCTCCAGAATACAAAAATTTCAATACCTCCTTCCCTTACGTGAAAATGACTGTAACAACCAACAACTTGTTATGGGTGTACTTGTTTGCTCATCTTCTGATCCAACTGTTTAAATGACTAGCAAACATTCTGGCTCATGTTGCATTCTAACCATAAAAAAAAATTAAATCTAAACCAAACTTGCAACTAAGTTTGGAGTAGATAAACTACAACGCAGCCGTGTGCCTCCTCCGCAGTGCAGTGTGGGGGCTGGCTCCATGGCTCATCTGAGACAAGGAAGGGTCATAGTGAAATTGTTTGAACAGACTGCTCATCCTCACATAGCGTGGCGTTTACTTTTTATCTAACAGATTGTTTGGAAAAAGAAGTACGCCCAGGGCTGTCAGGGCTGATTAGCTGCTGCTTCTGCACCGAACAGCCAAATGAACTTCAGGTGTTCATTCATGACTTTGGGTTGCCTCGAGCTACTGGAAAATACAAAGTTTCCCGTTTTAACACGTTAAAAGCAAAACTCCTCTCACAAAACAGGTGATGGAGGGGGTGGAGAGGGAGCAGGGCTGCACATCGCGGCAACGCGGGCAGCTCGCCTCCACGGGGCAGAGGGAGGCAGGGGGCAAAAAGGGACAGGGCAGTCCTCGCATCCTCACCCCCTCCCAGCACCGCCAGCGGGCAACCGTGCCCCGGCAGGACGGTGCCGCCAGATGCCCGGTGCTCCAGCCCGGTGCTCCCGCCCGGCCGCTGCCGCCGCCCCCGCCCCGCCACACCGGCCTGTCACGCTGCC